GGGGAAGCCTGCCCCGCCGCCGCTCGGCCCGCCTCTGCGGCGTGTGGCTTCTCCTCATGCAGCCCGGGACCCCACAGCCGGACTGCGAGGAAGCCCCGCCGTATCCCGCCTGGAGCCGCACGGCCATACAGCCCCGCCCCACCTGCACGGTCAGCCCGATCCACGCGCCGCCGAGCCCAAACAGCAGGCCCGTCAGCACGTTGGGCGCCGCCAGGTACAGCGCGTACGACGCGGCGGTGTAGCCCAGCACGGCGAGCGCGGCGCCCTCGCTGCCGCTGCGGTGCGCGCCGTTGACGTCCTGCCCCTTGAACACCTCCTTGCGCACGCGGTCGCGGATCGCGTTGTAGACCTCACTGCAAGGACAGTGTGCGGTCAAAGCGGTCAAGGCGGTCGGTCAACGGAAGCGTGGGGGTGGAAGATGTGTTTGTGCGCCGGGGCCTCGGCTGGCTGCGGCAGTTCCGCGGCGTGCGTGGGAAGGCCGCGGCCCGGGCTGAGAGGTGCGACCCCTGCCTGAGAGCCAGGGCGCGCAGCTCTTGTTTATTGTGTCCTATTCTCTAAAATTCTGAGACTGTGTGGGCAGCCACAAGGCAGTTGGCCCACCCACCTGTCGTTGGGGTAGGGGGAGCGCGGGACGGCGTGCACAGGGAAGCCCTCCAGGACAGGCAGGCGCCGCAGGCGCGCCACGGCAACCTGCAACGGGCGAGAGGGCCGGGCGCGGCGGCGGCTCACGACAGGCCGCGGCGGCGGACGAGGCGCGGCGCACGGCGCCGCGATCATGCCAGCAGTCCGGCTGGGCGTGCGCCTGGCTGCGTGCTGCGCTCGCGGCCGCGCCGCCTGCTGAGTGCTGGCGCCACCTGCGCGCCGCGCAAACTGATTTTGAAGCACCGCACCTCAGGTCTCAAGTGGTAAGACTCGAAGAGCGCGGTGCAGTCGCGTCCGAGCGCGAGGTTGATGAGCCAGCTGCCCGCGGGGTGCCTGTCCACAAAGGCGGTCAGGTCGTACGCCGTGCCGCGGTACACAGTCCACTTGTACTGCTGCCACTTGGGGTCCTCCCTGCGGCATGGCAGGTGGGGTTGCGTCGGCGCGTTCGGGGGCGTTGCGCATGTGTGTGCACAGGTGCATGTGCCCGCATGCGTGTCATGGAGGTTGGCTCCGGGTGCTGCACCTCGGGGACCCACACATGTGCGCTTGCCCACCTCTTGGCGCGGGCACGTCCCCCTCTCGCGGCTGCCGCTGCGTGCGCGGCCTCGGCCCCAAACAGCGAATCTGGCACACGGCTCACGCGTTTGCAGTTGCGCTCCTGCGGGCCCATGCCTGCTCCACCCAGCCTTCGCACCCAGGACCGGACACTCACCAGGGGTCGCCGCCGGAGGGCACCTCGGGTACAGGCGCCGGCGCTGCATCAGCCGCTGACGATGGGCGCTCGGCCACCGTCACGCCCGCGCCGCCGGCAGGCGCCTGAGCACGGACTGCGACCCGCGGGCGTCGACCAGCCTGGGCGGCCCTCGCCAGGAGGCTGGGACGGGCGGGCAGGGCTGCGCGGCGGCCAATAGCGCCAGCCTACGAGATGCGAGGGCGGGGTGCGCAAGGTGGGGCCCCGTCGAGGCGCGGCCAAAGTTGGCGCCATCGCGCATTGCGCTAGTGAGGTGTGGCCGGGAGGCGCCCCCGCAGCATTCGGGCTAGCTAGAAGGGCCCTGCGAAGCTGTAATTGGTCAATAATCACGAACAAAACCCTTGGGGCTCGCTCATTGGCAAGGCCCTGGCCTGTCAGGCAAACGGAGAGTACGCGGCCAAGCACAACAGGGCCGTCAGGCCCACAGCACCCGCCAGCTGGTATAATACAAGCCGTATTTCACACCTGAGTCTGCATCTGGGAGAGCTGCATCCTTTAGGGGCCCGCGATCTCCTTGCAGCGCTGCCTTCGGGGGCCTCTACCTTTCGGGGGCCGCACCCGGTATTACAAGCAGCAGATGTCACGGGTGAAGGTGAGGAGGGTTCAAACTCCACGCGAACGTCAAGTGCACGAGGCGCGCGTGCCCGCACCCTGGTGCCCTCGGTGAGGATCACAGCCAACCGCGCTCGAGATACCACGTATGTTGTTTATTACAGTTTTATTAGCGTGTTTCTCAGGCGACGCGGGGATTTGGGAGGCTGGCCATAGGGGCCGCGGCGGTTCTTGCCACACACACAGCAGAAGCGCCAGCAGCAATCACAAGACTGGCGGCATGGCCCCTGCAGTGCATGAGGATGCTCTGCCGCACTCATCCAAACCTTTGACATGGTGAGTGATTCTGTAGCCTTGACGAGGCACCACTAAACACCCTCACCCTGCAGAGGCAGGAAACCCGGTGAAGGCCCAAAGACTAATATCGAAGTTGGGTCCTCACAGATGCTGCACCAGCGACAAGCCTGCGGTGCATGTGCGTTCTTTTATCTGGGGGTTGCACAATTGTTGAAGACGATCCACGCGCGTTTCGCACGCGCACTCGTGTGCTGCCAAATTCATCCTTTAAGGGGGACCGCCCCTGAATGCACTCCACTGTACCGCTCCAAACCGCGTTACCACGGGTCACTCATATTACAGCCCACTTGCCCACAAGAATTGCAGACAATCTGTGTGTGCTTGTGTGTTTGTGTGCCTTGGACAAGGTCAGACAGGCCCATACCGTGCACCCCTGAAGATGCTTCACTCCTAGCGACGCGAAGTAAATGAAGACCGACACTCACAGACCCACACCGGCGTGCGCTCATCCCCTACCCGTTTCTTGCCACCGTTTAGGTGGTGTACCTGTGAGGTGGCGGGGCGATACGGGCGCGTGGCGAATAACCCATCAGGTGGCGCTGATACGGATGCTCACCCTCGGGCAGGCAAAAACGAGGGTAGCAGCATGTTTGGCTGTGGCATAAGCAGGATTGCATGGGGCCACCCCGCTGCTGAGCATGAGATGCGGCAGGCCCCCTGACCAGAGCGCCACGCGCCAAACTCACAGGACGTCCTCCCAGGGGTGGCGGTACAGGGGCTCCTGTTCGTAGGCACGTCAGGGGCGGGCGAGGCAGGTTCAGCGGGAGCGCCGGGAGTGTGTATAAACCCCATACGTGCAACGCCCCATGCAACGAGCGACGCTGCAGTTGACGGCTTGCACGCGCAGTATGGCTTGCGGCGCGCCCAATGGTCACCCATGTGGCTAAACCCTGCCTTCGACGCCCGTCAACGGATGCCTGGACTAAAACCCCTCGCCCCCCTTGCCCCGCGCGGGGGCCACGGCCGCAGGTCCTCGCCTGCAGCCGCTTCTGGTCCAGGGCGTGGCCGATGAGGCCGATGGAGCGTGCCAGCACGAACAGGCCGTTGAGGTAGCCGATGGAGATCACATCATCCATCTCCTTCTGGGTGAACGCGCCGCTGGGGCACCGAGCCAGGAGGCGGCGGCGGGGGGCGGGGCAAAGCAAGGCCGCACGCGGGCCAAGTCAGGGTCGGCGCCGGGGGAGGTGTGCGGCAAAAAAAAAGGTGCAGCAGGCGCGAGGGGTTACGAATCCCTCAGTCGCTGGGGCTGCGCAACGGGCCAAACCCCTGCAGAGCTGGGCCCCAGGCCCCGCCAGACCTTGAGGACAGCAGGTCGAGGAAGAGGGCCCCGATGCAGCCGTCCACGTTGAGCACCAGGTTGGCGGCCTTGCCCAGGGTGTACTCCTCCACGGTGAGGGCGTAGGCCAGGTAGCGCGTGGCCGGGAAGAACTGGCGGCGGGGGGATCAGGGGGGCGGGGAAGGAGGGAACCTCACAAGATTTCCAGGTGCTTTCCGTCTCAGATGGTCATGCCAGCGCAAAACTCAAGAATAATGGCAAGGCGTGCGAGCGGGTGCGAGGGCAGAGGCGCGTTTGGCAGTCTGCAAGGGGGGTGCAGGGGCCCTGTTCATGGGCGGGCATGGGATGTGCCAGTGGAGGCAGTGCCAATGTAACAGCAGATGCATGCGTAATGCAGTCCAACTGGATATTGCCGGCTCTGGCAACCTCCAGGAAGATTTCGTGGGTGGGTGCAGCAAGATAAGTCACATACACGCAGGCGTCAGCCCCAGCTGAGTCGCGATTGACCAAGCAACTGTGCATGAGCATTTGCTTACAGTCCAAGCCCATGCCATTTCACCCTTTGAAAGAAACATCAACTGCGTGCGCGCACGCCGACACGCCCACACGCATCTGCACCCAATCACACACATGCGCATGCGCACGGACGCACGGCTCGCACCTATACAGCTACGCCCACTCTGCGCTCCCCCGCGCCACCCAGCCAAAACACATCACAGCGCCCCCCCATCCAAGGCGCAGCGCCCGCCCACCTTGCGCGCGTAGTTTTGCAGCAGCTCCACGCGCTTGTCGCGGTTGTCCTTGCTCTTGATGCGGTGGCCGATGCCCGGCACGCGCTTGCCCTGCTTCTTCAGGCCCTCCACGAACGTGGGCGCGTCCAGGCCCTGCTCCACCGCGACCTGGTGTGTGTGTGTGTGTGTGTGTGTGTGTGTGTGTGTGTGTGTGTGTCTGCGTGCACATACACAGGTGCAGAGTGGGCCGACATAAAGAGCCTGCAGAGCAGAGAGTTGTCCCCGGCGGGCGGGAGCACCTTGAAGCACCGCGCCGCGTCGTCGATGGCGCCGCCGAACCGCGGGCCGATGGTGAGCAGGCCGCTGACGAGGCAGGACACGAGGTCCTTGCCGGCGCGCGACGTCACGATGGCGTTGTGGGCGCCGCTGACGCAGGGGCCGTGGTCGGCGCACAGCATGACGCACATTTCCATGAACTTGGTGGCGTACCTGGGGTGTGGGGGTGGGGGTGCGGAACGAGGTCCGGGGTGGAAGTGAGTGTTTCAAGGAGGGGATAAGGACGGGGTTTTGGGGGTGGGAGGCAGGGGTGATTGGGTTGATGGCAGGACGACAAACGGCACCATAAGGTTAGTAGAGCAGCCAGGGTCCCGGCCGCATGCTGGTGGCGCGAGCTTGTGCACGCAACGGGCTGATGGGCGCTGGAACAGGGCGGGCAAGCGTGGGGGTGGGTTCGACAAGCGAAGATCCCTGGTGTAGCAGCCACCAAAAGGTGCCAAGGCCGTGCTAGCGAGCTCCTCATGTGCCAAGACCCCAGCCCCTTGCTAGATGCACGCCCCATGAGATCCTGGCACCAAGCATCGCAAACGCCCACTTTGGCAGCTTGCGCTTGAACCAGAGCAGCGCCAGCACGTCCCCAACCCCATAGTCCGAGGTGATGAGCTCGCTCATAGTGACACCGTAGTAGGTGGGCTCCTCCCCGCGGTCATCACAGATTGTTGACACCACGTGGGTCGGCGCGCGCACCTGCACCGCGGCGGCGGTCAGGTGGGGCAGGCCCGTGCCGTTCAGGTTGGGGCAGTGCGGCGCGAGACCCCAGGAAGCATGGCTGGCCGGTTGGGGCCCCAGCCCGCACCTTGCCAGCCTTGGTGGCCGCATCCAGGTCCATTGGGATGGTGGGCACGTCCACGTCCGCCGCGGGAGTAATCACGCCCTCGTCAACCAGCCTGCGGGGGCGACGGCGGCGGGCATGGTGCCTTCACGTGCTGGCCAAAGCGGTGCCCCATATTGTGATGGTTGCGGGAGACGAGCTGGCGCTGTTGCTGTGGTGCCGCAAGCTGGCCTGCCACAATGCACGAAAGGCACCTGCATACATATCACATAGCCACAGGTGAATGCGCGCATACACATTTGCACGACACACACATACATTGACACGCCGCACACGCGCACGCACACACACACACACACACACACACACACACACACACACACACACACACACACTCACAAACTTGAACCACACACGTGCCTGGTGTAGGTCGCCTTGATAGCGCCCTCAAAGCCCTCAAAAGAGTCCGGCACCTCAGCGCCCGCCTCGCGCAGCGCCGCGTTCTTAGCCTGCGCAGACTCGGTGTCGCCGCCGCTGCGCGCGCCAGCGTGGCCGAACTGCACCTCGCTCTTGAAGAGCTTGGCGCAGGTGCCGCTGACCCAGGCCACCACCGGCTTGGTCACCTGCCGTCCAAAGGCAGCGATTGCACGCCGGGCAGCACCGGGGTTGTTTTCAGCAGGGGCCTCTTCGACGGCGATTCAACACACCAAATTGGGGAGGGCATGGCCGCTATGACCAGGCCGCAAAAAAGACAGGGGGGAGCGCGGGCTGGAGGCAGTCTGCCTTAAGGCTGGCGCCGCACCTTGCCGGCTTTGAGGGCGTCGACCAGAGAGTACTCGTCCTGCCCCCCCAGCTCTCCCAGCACCACAATCATCTTGATCTGGGGGATGTTCTGGTAGCGGATGCAGTGGTCTGACAGCGTGCTGCCTGGGAACGAGTCGCCGCCGATGGCGATGCCTGGGCAGGGGGGATGGCGCAGCAGAGGCACATCGATGGGGCCTCGGCCAAGGTAGATGACGTGCAAGAAAATAGTTGGGCTTGGTCAGCTGTCCAAGCACGCATGCAGTCTGCAGGCTGCAAGGACGGCCACTCCACCAGGCACATGGCCTTGCAGGGGGGCAGAGAGAGGCATGCCCATGCAGAGGAAAACATTCAGAATTGTTGTCAAAGCAGGAGGCTCACCTTCGTACAGGCCGTCTGTCGCGCGTGACAGCACATTGTATAGCTCGTTGCTCATGCCGCCGCTCTTCGACACAAAGCCCACAGACCCAGGGCGGTACAGCTTGCAGGCGATGATGTTGTCCAGGGTGCCCGCCGTGTCGCCGATGCGGAACGCGCCGGCCTTGGCGGCGTCGTGGTTGTGGCAAGCGAGGGTCGAGGCGGATCAAGTGGGTTTGCATGGTGAACGTGAATCCAGAGGCTTCTGCAGTGAGTGGGGCTTGGTGCAGGTCGATGCGCACTTGCCGCCACCTCAGTAGGATTTGCACCTGACTTGCGGGCTGCAGGAGGTGTGGCGCGCCACGCCATGTCCTGCTCTTCAACCCAAACATCACACCTGCGCCCTGCTGCCCGCAGCTGCCCAGCTGCTCGGGCACCCACCTGCACGCCGCCGACGGTGGCCGGCCCGATGAGGACCTTGTTGTTGGCGCGCGCGTAGGCGATCAGCTGCTTGGCGTTCTTCTCGGGGACGCCCTCTGCGATGACGGCAACAACCTTGATGGTCGCCTGCTCCAGCGCCTCCATTGACGACTCGAACGCGCTGGGGTGCGGGCGCAGCAATTTGTTGTCGGGGGTGGAGCGCCCGCGGGGCTTGGGGACGGTTGCATGGGTGCAGAAAGGATTGCCGGGGCGGCTGAGTGTGGGGTGTGCTGCTGCGGGTCTGCAGCCGCGAGCGCTGCATGTCGCCGCATGCGCTGCATGCACGGGCACGCGGGATCTGCGCACCTGCGGAAGGAGGCATAGTTGACAAACACGTCTGCCATGGGGTGCTTGCGCGCCGCTGCGGCCGTGCTGCATTGCAGGAGGGCGTCGAGGAGCGCAAGAGCGGGGGATTGGGGAGGTCGATCGGTGGGCAATAACAAGTCGCTGGCATCTGGCATGTGGCATGCGTCTTTCTGCAGCACTAATATCAGGACTCTAAAGCCATGGCACACGCATGTGACAGCACCGCCAACGGCCGCAACGGCATGTCGCCCATGTGCCCTGACGCTGTCCCCACCTGGGGTACATGGGGATTGCAATCTCCTCGCTGCCGAAGAACAGCTTTTGAAAGCCGGTGGATCCCGGCTGCACTATGCATGCCACTGAGGGCGTCTTGCGGCCTGCGGAGCACATGGAGGGTGCAGCAGGTGGGCTGTGCGCCCGTGTGGCGCAACCGGCAGAACCTCGCACTTCAGCATCGGATACGGCGCCTATTCAGTGTCTATATCAAGTAGATACCAAGTCTAATGCACTCCACGCACACGCACCGCACAGAAAGTCGAAATCGAGCATGCGCTGCACTGGCTTCTGCTTGAAGTTGAAGAAGATAGACTGCGTGTCCTTAGAGAAGAGCTGTCCCAGGCCTGAAGACGTCATGGTTGCGATCCTGGCCAGGCCAGGCGCGGAAGCAGAGCTCTGGGAGCAAAACACCCCGAGATGAGATCACCTGCCCTGAGGAGCCTTTGATGACTCTGTCGATGCGCTCGATTACAAGTGCAATTATACATACGAGGCACCGGTGGTGTGAGGACCTTGGTTGGGATTCCGCTCCAAAAAGGCACTCGGAGTGCGTGCTGTGCTGCTCGTAGCACGAGGCGTTCCGACCTCAACGAGATCGGGTCCAATGTTTCTCGATCTCGGCTGCTTATATCTACGTCATAACGCCTGCATCCACCTTCCCAGTGGTGATCTGCTTGTTCGCCCTGCCCACGGCCCTGCTTGTGGCCTTCACACAGCGAGCGGTCCGCGATCTTCGAGCAAGATATCTTGTTTGTAAAGCTCTTGTCCCTGCTGAGACATGCCGCACCCGCTGAAAAAGCTCCGCTGAGGGTCCCTGCTGGCTCAGCAGCCCAAGCGGCCTTCCAGCATACTGGAACAACGGTTTCGGGGGCCTTCTGAGGGTCTAGAGCCCCTGTCTCAGGCGGAAGCCCTGCCTGCACGCCAAGCGCGCGGGCACAGCGCTTGGCGTGCACAGCGCGGGCGTGCACAGCGCTTGGCGTGCACAGCGCGCCCCCAGCACAGGGCGCGATTGCGATGTCCGCGGCCATGGCGGCCCCCCGCAAGCCCCCATTTGAATCCGACCCGTTGAGCGCGTCCGGTGGGCATGCTGACGCCGCGGCCTTCGAGCTGCGCATGTCCCAGCCGCTGTCCCAGTCTCAGGACCTTGTTCGAGCCTTCGAGCTGGCAGAGCCGCTGAACCTCACGCCGCTCAGCCAGGGCATTACGGACGCCAACGGAGGCGACTTCCCCGCGACCCAGTCCCAGCCGCAGGCCAGCCAGCCCCTCGTCGCCGACCGTGCGCCGCCGCTCGCGGCCGGCGCGGCTAGCGC